CGATTGACACGGACCTGTAGTGTCTTGATCTGGAGAGATTTTGCGTAGAACTTGTCGGCTAGAGATTCTACAGCTCCTTTTTTGACACAGATAATGCGCAAGCAAAGAAGTTTCAGACTGGGGAATAGGCATACAGTTCGTGCCAGCTCGGTCCAAGTCCGAAACTCTGCGACGTCCAATGATAGTTCCGTGATAGTTCTAAAGCGGGACAAAGCGAGTCGGCACTGCATAGGAAGTATTATTGGGGAGTTCTCTTGGTACGCTGATATTTCCAACCGAGCGATTCTGTGTAAACGCTCCGAAAATTCGATGGAGAATACGGGCAATTGTCGTGAAGTAACCAAAATGGTTTTCGTGAACCACGCAACAAGTGGATCCTCCCGCATTCGCTGGCACAGTTCGTTCGAGAAATCCGACGTATACACTGGTTGGACCCCACAAACCAGCGCATGGTAGTCGTCCATGATTTTCTGTGTAATCGCTCGAAACCCTTTGCACGTGCAATGACACGCGATCAGAGCCCGATGATTATCAATGGCGTGTAGAACAAGCCACCAATTATCGAGTGGCATCCAGGGCTTTGAGTTGACTTCGGGTCTTTTCATCAATTCTGGTCAGTGAGCGTCGTCAGGTAACTAGTGCTGCATCGCTCACAAAGATTTTGGACCTTCACTGAGCGGCATCTGTATATGCTCGTCAAAGTCAGACGTATGGTTGGCACTCCCGCAATCCGCGCCGACGAGTCCAACGTTTGCCCATCTCGTTCCACCGGAAAACCCACGCTCGTAATCCACGTTCGTCTCAATTGCCGCGACGTAACGAGGGGGCACGGGTGTGTCCACAGGACCTGGATCAATCGGGGCCACATTCGAGCCAGATCCTCCATGAGTGTCCAGTCCGACAATGGTCATGAGATTGGATAGTCGTCGCAGTCGTCTCGAGGTCGGTTGTATGATGCACCTCGCCTCTGGCTGTACGAGATACAAAAGAAAGAGGAAGAAAAGGGACAGGGGGTATGCCTCATCGCAATACAGGTAACACAGCTGGGGGGGATGAAAGGCAGTGTCTGGGCGAACGGGCGGCAATGACCTGCGGTCTAGACCGTCGAGTCCACCAGCGTTGTCTCAGTGAGGTAAGGGCTCACTTCGTGGTGCAATGTCACTACGGATCGAATGTCAAGGTGTCTATTCCAGTACCCACGTTGGTCGCATTCTAGTCAGTCGATATTCAACGTCATTAAATTGGTAGACTAGTACAACATGTCACTATGATAAAGTGAAATATCAGGAACAGACTGAGCGAACCCGGACTGGGCATAATTATCACTCCTAGACCCACTCAGAGCTCTAGAATACTCAATTCTCCGGAACTATGATAAAAGGAAATGTCAGCGTTAACCAAGAAGCTATCGAGAAGGAAACGTACCCGGTGGGTAGTCGATCTCATCATCATTCAAGTACCACGCGCCTGGTGAGTAGTCGAATGTATAAGTAATGCGTTCACTCAGAGCGCACCAGTATCAAACCAGGCGAATAGAAAGTCCTTACGATCTCCGGTCATAGTCTTCTCGGCATACGTTTGACCATCTCCTAACCAGTAGAAGCGGTTGACAGAGTCGAGACGTTCGTAGGTATAATCTTCCCAGCGAGGACGTTCGAGCGCGCGAACCGCGTGTAACGACGAGCCTGGCATGTGTGATGGTGTCAAAGGTGGAGGACGATGATTGCTAAAGAACAGGTATTTACCAGGATACAGCCCTGTGACGCGTCCTTCGTCCTTACCCATCTTGTACCACGAGCGGCATTGTTCACTGTACACAGTCTACCCGGCGGCATTGATTCGTGCGCATGCTCGCCAGACCTGTCTGTTTACTCACCTTCGGGAAGTGATGCTGCGCGTAACGTTTGTCAGCGAGGGAGCAGCATCGAGCACACGCGCAGACGCACCTCCAAATACTGATCAAAGTCCCTCACGGCGGCAGGCGCCGCCTCTATGCTCTTCAGCCGCTCACGCTGCAGCTTTTGTGCGGCTTGCACGGCATACGCGACCTGGCGCTCCATGATGATGAGCAGTGAGCCGGAGCCAACACATCCATTGGGGCCAAGCGAGAAGAACCAGTTCGGGAACCCGTCGACACATATGGTGAGATATGTCTCGGGGTGCGGGCGCCATTTGTCCTGCAGAAGCACTCCACCGCGCCCAATCATGGGGAACTCGAACTGGCACGACGTGTCGTAGCCCGTTGCACAAATGATAATGTCAAATTCGGTGTGCTTGCCGTCGGCAGTTTCGATTCCCGTGGGTGTAATGCGCTTGATATGAGAGGTGACGAAATCGACCTGGGCACTCCTTTCAGCACCCTGTCAGGAGAAAACATAAGAGTTACGTACGTGGTCTTTGCATAGAGCCTCGAGGTAACCGGGACCAGGTGTTAGACGGCGGCAAGCCACAGCAAAATCCGGAACCACTAGGGTGTAACTCACGCATCAGAAAAAGTTGCATGAGTCATTCGATGTACGCACAGTGATCAGCGATCCAGGGTTTCTTCGCCAACTTCTTCTGCATGCTTTGCTTGAATGCAGCCCGAGTCTCCTCTTGCATAGTCGAACCTCTAAGTGTGGCTGCATGCATCGACTGCACGTGTATTAGCACTCGCTCTTCATCATCGCAAGGGAGACCTACGTTAACATCTGCTTCGAGGTCATGTCTGAAATGTTTGTAGTACTCTGGGTCGTTGAACTTCTTCTTGTCCTCCTCAGTGAAGACGTCTAGGTTTAGGAGTGCTCAGAGGTCAAGCAGGATGAATGATGTGCAATCGGGAAATACGCACAGTTCTCAGTGTTGGGGTCACGGTGCGCGAGTTCCGCCATCTTCGAGCCGGAGAACGGTGTCGAGAGCCACGTTTTGCCGCGAACGTAATTCGTCAAATGCTTGACCTTGTCCTGCAACGCAGGCACGATCTGGATCGCACTCGAACCCTGCCAACGCCACGAATGCATCAGCTCGAACAAAGTCTTGGAGCGACAGGCGTGCTTACCACCCCAATGACTGCAACCTTCTTGTCGCTCCACTCGTGTGCCGCTTCCTGCCACGTCTGGTCCCCGGTATCGAAGTTTGCACTGTGGAATAACTTTCCTCCGAAGCTCTTGAGTCCATTAATCTCGGGCCACGACCAGCGGGAGATGAGGCCAACCCCCGTGAACAGGAAGTCCGCGGCATCATCGAATTCCTCAGTATGCTCGCCCTCGGGCGTAATGGTGGTCTTGCGGACACGGAGAAGCCAGCGCCCGGAGGGCTCGTCGTATCGTGCGTGGACGAGCTGGTGACGAAGTTTGAGGTACGGAGCGAGCTTGTACTTGTCGACCACACCCTCGAGGTACTTGCGGATCTCAGGACCGGGAGCGTAGAACGAGGACCAGTCCGTCTGTAGGCGGTGCATGAGCTGGGATTCTGGCCAGAGAAATTTATGGATGGCTCGGTATGCGCACCTTGGTCTCGAAAGTCAGTTGATACTGGACTTAAGATTAGTTGCTGATCCGCTGCAGCTAGCTACAACGCTTACACAATGTGCAGGAATATCACAGGCAAGGCCAGGGTATTTGTTGCTATGCCAAGTCCCGCCTACACCTGCGTTCTTCTCATAGATTGTAAGGTCGACGTTTTGCATCTTCTGCCGGAAGCTATATGTGGTGTGATGTCCGGTAACCTAAAGCGATTATGATTTCGAAATTTCTCACCGTATACCAGCAATGATACCGCTGAAGCCAGCACCAACTACCACGACCCTCATGGGTCTGTCTTCGTCGATGCAGAACTCACCGAGCTTGAAGTCTGGATGAGTGCGCGCCCCATTGGAAGTTTCAGAGTATGACGATCTGTTGCTCATGGCGGAAATTGTCTGGAGTTACCACAGATGTCGAAGAGGCGAGCGAGTCAAGCTATTGCCAGATGTTTTGAAGCTTATATATACGTTGCCTGGGAAGCCGAGCTGGAAGCTGCGGGCGCACTGAGTCGGTCTAAACGTGTAATCCATGCAGGAGCCTGACAGTAGCCATCGGATGCTGCATGACAGGTCTCCGACGTAGGGCGATATCTCGCGCGGGGCATCATCCCGGAACAGTTTTCGACCACTGCTGTCAACATCCGGTCGTAAAGAAGCCTCGCGCACATTCGGAAGCGGATTGCTGCCGGAGTACATACAGTCTTGACAGGTTGTGGACGCCACCGCCTGACAATTCAGCGTGAGCTTCCGTCAATTGGCGTGAGGTCAGTTGCGTGCTGAAAACAAGTCTCAGACTAGGTGCCGGTGCCCTCGGGCCTATTGCTACAGCGGAATGATTCTTGATATACGGATATATGACTATTGGATCTAACCCAATCAACACTAGAGATGACGTAGACACCCAGAGCCACAGCTTGTTTGAGAATCGTCAAGACCTTGAAAGCGCAGGGGCACTGTATGATCGCTCGTGCCGATGTTGGCTCGGACTCCGAAGGATGCTTCTTCGAAGATCGGCATCAGGGAAATGTCGCTTCGATGTATCCGCCTTGGCTTGAGTCGAACGCCCTCCCGACGCGCGACACATTGCTGACGCATCATTCACAGCTACGAAGCGGGACAAAGGACAGACTACCGTCATTCGTCGTGGCTGTAGGGTGTTGACAGCCCGCGTTTAGGCAGTCATAAGCCCTAGCAATGACAGGACGGACGTCGGCTGAGATGATTCTGCGACCGGAGCTGCGATCGGTGCTTCTTGACATGTACAGCGCACAAAGCGGTGTTTGTACGTACGAGTCCGACGTAGAGCTAGCACGACTTCACATTCAGAATGCGGTCCGCTTTGTTTCTAAACAGGTGTAGATCCACAGTGTAAGTTAAAGCCTGGAAGCGTGGACAACGGTGGGATTGGCGAGCAGCACAGCAATATTAGGAGCGAGCGCCGAAAGCAACCAGACAAAAATAAGCGCCTAGTGTTCACACGACAAGAAACCAAAAATTATGCCACGTACCCGGGTCGAACGAGTGACCTTCGCATTCCATTACGCGCAACTGCGTATACAAGTGCGACGCGCTACCACTACGCTAACGCGGCTTGATATTTGTGGTGTCTCACACGTATCTATCACCATACCCTAATGAACGAGATCGTTAGCACAAGCCTAGGTCTGTGCACTGCCTCGGCTTGTCTTCACCTCATACTCCCATCTCCTCCATAACAATGGCGGCAACAAAGACATTCTTGGGTCCCAGCATGAAGTAGTGCCATACAGAGTAGAATGTCCTCTGCCTTAGACATCCAGCCCCGTGGACCGCGAGCGATGGAGCACATCTGGGCTTGCCCCGTGTCATAACCCCGGCCAAGCTCGTCTCAGTGTCCACCGCCAGACGTACAGATGAGAGCAACATCTGTGCATCGGGCTGTGGACAATGTGGATATGCGTGGCGAACAAATGGCTGAGCTCAATGAGAAGATGCGTCATTTACTTAATCTGGACCTCACAATGAACGGTCTCGATCACTTGCGGTCCTTAAGTGAGCTTTGTTGATTTAGTTCTCAGATATTTGATGTGCTCTGAGCAAACTGATTTGATTCTAGCAGCTTGGTCTGAGAGTTCCTGATATTGCTACCTAGAGACCCCTGCGGGCACCATATGTTCCAACCAGCAATCTTCGGCTCTATATTTTTTATCCGCGCCTCAACCAATGTATAGTCTGCCTGTGGACGATGTTTTTGTCACGGGCCGTATTACACCTTTGTGCATTCATGGCTGAACCTTAGAGACGTGAGTAACTCAAGAGGGGGCCACGATAGTAAATCGGCCGTAGCAGATGCTCACACACGTCCCTACCTGAAATGTTCACTGCCCATCTTCGTCAAGACCCAGTCGAATTGACGTCACGTACATCGTGCTCAGTAAAATGCTCCGACACTTCTGAATACCGTCACAAATGTGTTCCTCCGGGCAGTAGTTGGATTTATTCTCTACGAGGTATTTGAGATTTGTCAGTCCAGACCGGATCGCGCGCGGTCCGCTCATCGTTAGCGCTATGATCTAATCCAATCCAATCTGATTGGCATAAGCCCGCCTTATCGACGCCATGTTCGCATACTGACTTTCCTCATCCGTCGCCCGGCAGTCTCTCGACGCCCGTGGGCGTCATGAACGCTCCGCGTTTTGTTCTGAGCTTATGTAGCATCACAACCTCGGAAACGAAGGGACACATTTGCTTACAGCCTCACGCGATGTTTTCCGATTCTTCGTCCTCGTGATCGTCTCAAGATTATTACTTACGATCTGTCATCTGAGGGCAGTGCAGTTCCCAGGGACACTCAAGATCACTACGTCTCCTGGGATATTGTGCATCCCCTTGATACATATCTGCGTTGCATGCGGATCGTATACAGTGGATCATACTGGGCAACTTAGCTACTCAACTCAATCGCTCCACATTTTGACCTCGTACCGATGAGCACCCAAGGCGACACTAGTCTTCCTCGCCAGCTGACTCTGGAGTGTGACTTGGGCTGTGGGATAGACTTAACCGCAGTTGCTGCTCAGAACTTCAAAGGAGTAAGCCCTTCCTGTCAAGCAGTTTATAAATGGACTGAATTACGGCAGATCTTCACTTCCCTTCGACGCGCATTCCGTGTACTGAGTGCGGCGAAGAGATTGTACGCAGTGCAGATCTGTGAGTCTTCTTCTGTCACAGAACCTCAGATTGATTGACGTGCTACCCACCTTGCAGCGGATACATCTTACTTCAACGTCCCTAGCAACATCACATTATCGACAAACCGCTCTGGCACAGCGTACAGTTATTGCACATGTAAAAGCGGAGCGGCGCTCCGCGAAAACCTCGCAGCAGATCCTAGCTTCATCGCACGCTATACAGCGTTTAGTAATGCTGAGTTGTGCTCTTACTCGGTTCGCAAGTCTTTCCGTGACGACTGTCACTATGCCTTGTACAACATCGAAAAAGTACATTACACCGCGAGAATGGAGGTCCGCACCCAATCCTTCGACAATAACTGTGTCGTACGCATCAAGAAGCTGCCAATTAACTTCAAGTTGGAAGATGCTCAACTGTTCAAGGACTTCTTCGAGGCAGTAGGGTCTCACGTCGTCATAAGTGCTACATATGGCTCGCGTTTCAACCTGGTACGTTCTCCGTTCGATGTCTTCCAGGAGCCTTTTGCCCATGACGTGTATCAGATTTGTTGGGTTTCAAGCCTAGGAGCCAAAAATGATACGAGGTACGCCGAGACGATCAGCGCTTTGGAAAGCATCACATCGGGACAAGAACTCATGGACCACATACAACGAGAGAAGACGACGGGAATTACCGAACATCGACATGCTTGCAAGCTAAATGAGAGCGTCTTTTACACCGGTGGTGAACCCACGGCGCTCGATACACTCAGCTCAAATCCTTGCGTTTTCAGTGAGCACGGCAGATGGCTTGATACATGCTCCCCGAATTATGGCCTGACTAGTGTTGGGCTCGAGACAATATGGACGATTGCAAGTTCGTCCGAGGACTCCGCGGTCCGGTCACGAGCGCGTGCACTCGAGGAAGCCTTCAAGTATCTTACTTCGAATCCGCCCGTTTGCAAGACATTGGCGCTCTTTCATGTCGACTCTGACTGGGCCGAGTTTACTCTAACTACACCTGGGGCTATCCTTCTGGTCAGACACATCACCGGCGATCTCACGAGCTCTACCATTGTCAGCGCCAATAGAATTGTCTGTGGATTGGGACGTGCTCTCTTCGGCAAGGCACACATTCAGTGAGTAATTAACTAAGCGAGATACACCTTGAGGAGTAATTTTTCGTTGATAGCTTCGAAATTTATTATGACGGGTCGCGAATCAACTTTCACACCTCTCATGGCTCGTCCGGCACCGGTCAGACCGCTGGAAGAGCTAACGTCACCATTGAAGGCGTGCGTGTCCTGGGAGTGGGCTGCGCGCTCGGCTGACATTATTATTCGATTACAGCGTGAATACCCTAACATCGGCATCGTCGACAACCACTGGAATATCAGACACTTTCAGCAAGTTCCGACAAGCAGGAGCCCAGGTTCGACCTCTGCTGACGTTACACAGATGATGGCCCATCTACAGATATGAACGAGACCTCATGCGCCCACATTATGAATAGACCGTGCAGATAGCGTGCATCCTAGTATTCCATGTGGTATGATGATCCGGATACTGCTCGGGCCCCGAATCCGCGTGCCAGACGTCACTGGGCTCGCTGCATCAGGGTATCATTGTGTCAGGAGTTATCCAATGACTCGATTTTTATTGACAGGACTTCAGGAAAAGTCCTAGTGCTCGGGAGTGACTAAGATGGGGCTGTCATGGCGCCGCCTTCTATCATCCTCGTGTCTGACGGCCGTAAGTTCTGGAACGCGCAGGGTGACCTGCTTTGTATCGTGACAGTCGACTCGATCCTGCCACTTCATCGGGTGCCTGTGAGGCTCTGCTCAGCTTCCATTCTCAGAAAGCTTCATGGAAACCCGATGACGAATGTCTTCCCTAACTGAAGTGCTTCAGTGTCTCTACTGAGGCGCAGCTACTTGCGAGGCGCTCACACTCGCACTTGGCCGGAAACTGTCCTAGTATTCCTGATACCTTCGCCCAGCTCTGCCCTCATGTAGTATGGATCCCTGTGACATCACATCCCCGAAGCTGGAGCTGATTGAGGTATAATCTCAATTTGATCCCAATGTCTGGGAGTAACGGCGCGCTGAGCTCTGAGCTTATTTCGATGGCCAGCGCTCGCGGATGAAGCTGAAGTCCTGTGTGCGCTTGTAGTGACACGTGGGCTTCCAACCTTAGTTTGAGCCTTGTGTTCACACCGGACGACACATAGAGCAACTGCGACGTGAGTCATAAAATTTCGTGGTCCTTAAGTGGTGTCGCTCGTAGGGACATGTCCCGCGATGTTTTAGCATGATCCTGAACTCTATCCTGGTCCTCTGCGTCGAAAAAATTGCTCGGCGGTTATAGCCATACGCCACCTTCTGCTTCCGTCCTACTCATCAGGCAGTATACGACCGTGTGACAGAGTTCCTGCATAACAAATCCGCAGCAAACCACTTCCCCAACATCTCGTCGTGCATGCAAGGGAGTATGATCTCTCCACATGCTGCACAACCAGTTCAGCGAGTGTGCTATCCCAACAATCGCAGTGACGTGCATATTGCTCGATTGATCCGGGTAGGGCGGCGCCACTCGTCAATGGTGAAAGTCTACTCACATCACGAAGCATCGGAACTGAACATATGGTCATTTTAGTGCAACTTGACTCTTGGCTCGGGAGCTATTCCTCGGCGCCGAGCGCACTAATATCTCCTTTCGGTAATGCATTGCAGTATCTGTCTCTGGTCAGGAATGTAGTTGTGCCTTGGACTTTAAGTTACTGGAGATGTGTGACCATCAAGGATCAACGAAACTAAACGCCGTGATATTCGGTTTGAGGAATGGCGTTTGTGCGTCATCTGTCAAGCTCCCGTCACTAATCCCCAGCTATATAAGTGTGCGAGGTCACACTAGCTGCGATCGAGTCTCCAGTCAGAGGCATCCTCGAAAGTCATTACTGTTCTACATCTTGACTTCCCGAAGCAATATGAGCCAAGGGGAGCTACCTGCAACCGACAAGCTAGGCTATGCGCTCGATCTTACGACTATGAGTGGACAAGACATCAAAGGGGTGAGACAATGTCTAGGGTGTCCTTTTCCATCAGTCAACCGAGACCTCTGCAGCTTTTGACCTCTCTGAAGACATCATCTCGTGTGCTCAAACTCGCAAAGAATGACAAACCGATCCAGCTATGTAAGTGCTTGATGGTGGGGTGCTGAATGCCTAGACTAACATGTTACACACAGATAACGAACTATATCATGTTCCGAGCAACATCGCAGTGGAATCAAGTAACGCTGGCATTGCCTCTGTGTTTCGTCCTTGTACAAGCGGAAGCTCTCTACGTGCTCAGCTGAAGGCGGATCCCTCCATTTTGGCGCCGTATTCCGCATTTAATGCTGGCAATTCGTGCGCGTATTCGGTCTACAAGTCATTTCGCGA